ACTACGCTATCCCATCACGAGCGAATGTAGATCTGCCGCGCCTTCAAGCTCGTCTTTACGAGCTGATGGTCGAGAGTTTCCTTGCCAAAGAGGACCCTTGCCAGACACTCTTTCGTCGAGTTGCAGCATGGTTCCCACAGATCCCACAGCGCAACTTGGATCGGTTCTGGATTAACTCGTACTATGCTCTACTGAAAACTAAGCCGCGTATGCTCGTGGGAACCATGCGTATCCTGTGCCGCGGTCTCTGCACCACCAAGCGATATAAATCCAGCCTTGTAGGTTGTGCCCTGGGATGCCCGGCGCTTGGCGAGGGTGTTCTTGATCGCGTTGAACACTATGCACGTTGTCCTCGGCTGGCTTCTCTGTTCAGATATTGGCTCGGGCCCCTATTTATCTCTTCGTCTTGGTTTCCTGCGGGTTCGCCCTACCCCCCCTTCCTCCTGCTTTCACAATCGCCAATGCCTTCCAATATATTATATGCCGCTTGTGTTGATGCGTTCGTTACTCTTCATACCTGTCGTCGTCTGGACATCCCAGGCACATGCCAGCAACACTTCGAAGCTCGCCTCAGAATTGCGAGCCGCCGCCGTCGTGCAGTGGCCTCTGCCTGGAGTAAACAGGCGGCTGTTTTCTTCGCTCCTTCCCCCCCCCCCCCCCCCTCCCGCGCGCAGAGAGCACATGCTGATCCTGGAGGGGCGCCTGCCACCCCTGGCGGGGACCGCCAGGCCCGCTCGCGAGGCTGCTGGGCTAGCGGCCTGTCCTTTTTGGGTGCCGTCTCACAGCGAGATGGCGACATGTCGGGCGCGAGCACACCCGTGCAAGTGCAAACACGTGGGAGCGGTCAAACTATATATACATATATATATATATAGTAAAAGAAAAAACAAAATAATAACAAAAGAAGCCGAAGATGGCCCACGAGGCGCCCAAGACGGCCCAAGAGAGCCCTAACAGGGCATTTAGAGGGGCCCACAAAGAATGATTCGAATTCACATTTCGAGCCCGCCGCCCCGGGGGGGCCACCGAAACCGCCAGCAGGCCCTTGAGGCTGCGCCACATTGTGGCCATATTGGGAACCGCTTTCGCGCAATGATGCTGCATTTTGCGGTGGCAAGTCATGGGAGCCTGGTATGCTCATTTAATTTCCGTTTTGAGCGTCGACTAGCGTCGAGTAGCGTTTGGGAGTCGATGAGATAGCGCCGGCTTGGCGTCGCTTAGCGTCGACTACCGTCGATCTAGCGTCGAATAGCGTCGACGAGCGTCGATGACCGTCGATTTGCACGATCCGACGAGATGGCATGGGCGGCCCCCATGCGTTGCCACCGGATATTGGGAACAGTTTGGCGCAATGATGCGGCATTTTTTGAGCAACATCGACCCTTCGGGGCCATTTTTGGGTTGGGCCAGGTTTGGCGATCCCTAAGCCCACCTCGAGATCATTTTGGGGCAATCTTGAGGGCCTTTTGGACCATCTTGGGTCAGGTGGGCGAAATCTTGGAGCTATTTGGGGCCAGCTCCAGAAGGTCTGGGTGTTATCGGTGGCTATGGGGCCGTTTTGAATTTAGCTGTGGACATGGGGGCAAAACGTGGGACAGGGAAAACATATTGGCACCGCGAAGTGTTTCTATGTTCGTTGGCGCTTCGGGGGCGTATTTGGGCCTCCTGGGCAATCTTCAAGGCATTCCCACACCATCATACCTCTTCGGTGTTTCTTGGGGCCGTTTTCGGTGCCGCTTGAGCTCTCCTGACCGCCTGGCGGCCACAGCAAAATGAAATTGCTGGGAGTATGGCGTAGGGGAACCTGAAAGACGGAAGTAGGAGGAGGACATCCGCACCATCATGAACAACACCATGAACAGCATGACAAAGTATTCGCTTCGTTTTCTCCCCCTCATAGTCTTCGTCCTCCTCCAATGAATCATCACAACAGCCATCATGGACAACAACACCGTTACCATGCACAGCCTTCTCATCACTCATCATCAAAACCTCTCCGTAGTCATCCCCCGTATCATCGTCATCGTCAACATGACCACCACCATCACCATCCATCATCATGAAGGTTCGCTTTCACGTCAGCTTCCGCACCGTCCCTTTTCCCACCATCTCCACGCAATCGGAATATTTCAACGATCGGGAACAAAGACAATGGTCCTTAGTATCGCCTTCACCCTAGCCATCATCACAACCATCCCGCCCCCCCTCTGCATCACCCCCTCCCTTTGCCCCGTCTGCTGTTCATCATTTTCCCCGCCGTCTTTTCGTTCCGCTTCCCTCTCCCATCGTTCTTGTTTTTTGTTGTCTCCCTCCCCTCGCCTCGGAAATCGGGGAAGCGGCGAGCAGGGCGGAGGATCCCAGTACGCTGTGACGTTTCCTTGGCCAGCGCTCCAGCCGAAGCGCGCGCGAATGTGTGTATGCAAACAGATGTGGGTAATGCACATGTGTATATATATATATACATATATATATATATATGTAGGTGTGTGTGCATACATGTTTGTGTATATATGTTTGTGTATCTATGTGTGTG